AAGTTAGAGATTGGGTAGCAATTCTTTTGCATGGTGAACGTCTCGGGCCCTCTCTACATTGCTTAAATGAAGATTTGCATGCCTTTTTTTCCCTTCTTACACATATGAGTCATTATATTTAAATAAAACAATATATAAACTACTATTTAGGTATGTTAATAAATTGTCATAGTTGAAATAAACTCTTATTTATAGGCCTTGCTTTTGTTTCCTTGATCATTTGATGAAAGCCTCATTTGACGAAAGCCAGCCCAATGAGATTCAACGATACACACATTCTCTAGAATTGTCCTGATGCCCTCAATCCACCCAAAGGAGAGAAGTACACGAACATGCGGGAGTGGCATTTTTGGAATTCAAAGTTGCCTGCAACTGAAAGTGTTGTTAGTAAAAGGTAAGCATATATGCATCATCAACAATTGTGCACACTATCATGTATAAACTGTTTAAATTATTTTGGTTTAAGTGATTAAAATGGTTCATAACTGAGAGTTGAAATGCAAATATGGTGTTAAAAAAAATAATTGATCTCTATGTGTAAGATTGTATTTGTAAGTAGCGAGACATTTTTATGCAAGTTATCATTATAATTAAAACAAATTGACCATAAAAATATAGGAGCATTTACAACTATTTTAGAATGTTAATATTTTGACTAAAACAAAAAAATTACTTGGTACCAAAATGGGATCATCATGAGAATGATACCTTAAAAAGTTGGTGGACTTGTTTAATGGGCCTTTTCCCAAAAGCATCATCACTACCATCAGCACCACCTCTACCACCTGCCTTGCCTTCCTTTTTAATCACTTGGTTTCATTGAATCCATTAAGTGGACTATCTAAACACCTGATAATAATTGTCAAAAACATGAGCTACCATGTGATATTTACATAGAAAACAGATATATAAAAGTTACATGGTTATGGACACATACATGGTGTACATTAGTAACTATTAATACAATTCTAACTTATAAAGTAAATCAGTTATGATAACTTATTATAGGGTAAGTCTTCTTTACTCATATATTTTCATAAAACCACCATAGAGGAAAAATTGACTTTTTCCTAATTTTTCTTTTTCAATTACTGCTATGTTTTCTTCCTACAATAGTGACACAATTGAGATAATTAAATCAAGTAAAGAAAAAATGTAAAAAAATTCAAACAGCTCATAAACACTCAGCAGCTCTTTGGCCCTTGAACGGGTTCACCTACTAATGTCTATGAGTAACAAATTTCCTGTTTGGAAAAAGTAATAAATACACTGTCTTCACCAGTTGCTTTGTCCTTGCTCATTGGCATATTCTTCCTCAAATTATTGATGACACATACTATTAATTTATGAAGAAATCAACCATCAACCATGTGGCTTGGTGGTAGAATTACCTATATACTCTTAATCACAGGTCTAAAGTTCAATCTTTAGTCTCTACGTATCAGAAAAAAAAAAAATTATGAAGACATCAAAATCCACAAATTGATCAATACTACAATATCTTCTTAGAAACAAAATCAAATTAGTAACTGATGGAAATCTAGAAATCAAATGCAAATGAAAAAGAAAAAAAAAAACCATAATTATTGTATGTTAAGCAAAATCAGTACAAAATTGCGTGGAACTTCTCCTTGAGAGTTTGATATATGAAGCAAATTAGAGGAAACATTAAAAGGGAATGCAAATTATTCTCATTAGGTCGAAACCCTATTCTGAGCAGATTCCCTAAACTTTCTGAATCGACTAAAAGTGGAAAGAGAAAACTTGTAAATATAACAATAAAATAAAATAAAATAAAGGGAAGATTAGTCTCATATGATAACTAAATAGGAACACGAAGTGGAAAAGTCAAGGTAGATGTTTTAGGTTATACTTTCCAATGAGAAGTTTTTATTCATCTTTTACTTAACAAAATAAAACCCCTTTTCCTACAAAAAGCTTTTGGCATAACCACAAACATTTACATCATTTACATTAATTTATATTAAATAATTGGCTCTCAGAGCTTTAGAGATTACAACCAAGTACTATCACAATATAAAGGTTTCATTTGACTTGGGAATATTGAAGATTTTAAGTAAATTTATGGTCATTCTTTATGGAACCAGTGATAAAAAATAGGGAAAGAAGAAAAGTAATAGGTGAAGAGATGATAAACAACACTTGACATAATAGGTAAATAATATAACTTATTCAAAAGGATCTTAGAAAGGGAAAATATTGCAGTTGCTCCAACAGAAAGTTGGCCATTATAACACTTCAGTTGGTTTAATCTAATCAGTAAAACTGATCTTCTCTTTCAAATTTAAGTTTAACAAATTAATCAATTAGCAAATTGCAACTTAAACTCTCATCAGGTGCCCATGGATTAATTATGCAAAAATCCTAGAACTTCTTATTAAATGTGCCAGTCCAAAATCAACAACAGTATTTATGATGCATCCTCCAATCATTCATAAATGGTTGTACTAACCAAGGTTTAGGCTCAAATTATAAAGAGTTTCTCTTAAGAAAATTATCTATGTTAGTTATTATACATAAGAACTTTATTGTTATTTTCCAAGAAAAGAAATGTTTACCTATTTGTTAGTCTCTCAATATGCAATTGAATGGTGGAATTCACCAATGTTCTAACGGCACATATTTAATCCCAATTCATCATTGAATTAAAGAACACATATACATTTTCAGCTAATGTCAATGTTTCTTTATCCAAGCATGTCCCTGCAAGAGTAATCCCTCCTCCTACTCCATCCCCAACCTTTTAGAATCATGCCACATGGTTTTTAGCAAATCGTGCCTTGAAAAGAGCCTTTAACATAAAAAAATGAATAGGAGAAAATAGTTTAAAAAAAAAAAAAACCCATAGCGCATAAAATTGTGCCTAATCATACTGCAATTGTAGAGTAATCACCAATCCACTACCACAAAAGGAGAGGAAAGTTCATTTTTATGCACCTTATCTAACATTATGACTATATAACTATCCCATGCTTTTTCCATTTGAGTTAAAATATTTTCTCTCTTATTTATTCCAATTAAAATATTTTCTCTCTTATTTATTCCAATTAAAATTAGAATGTATAAAAACAGAAAAATATCCGAAAACAATAAAGATGGAAAGAGATGGATGCGACATGATTTTATACACAAATGAAATTCTTATATTCATTTATTTAGTAAAACTAAAGATTATTAGTCGGATGTTTAACATACCACTTTCCATGATGCCATGCTTTTTTTCGATGACTCCATGTGAATTTGTGACAAATAGTCAGATACAAAACACTATAAAATGGGACGCTGACTTGTGTGCTGGAAGCTTTGTTGATCCTTCTTTGGTCTAGTTGATGCATGTACTGAATGGATGTAATTTATTCAGGTGGTATCAAATCAAAATCCGGTCCTGAAAAAATTCAAAATTAATCAGCGAATGATGATCTTCTAGATAATTCTCCAATCAAAGTAAAGAGAATGAAAGTGACATAGAAGTGTTTACTTATGGATTTTGGAATAATAGAATTACCATAATTTTTTAGTGTTCACAATAATCAAAAGGGAATTGAAAGGACTAATATGTGCATACCCATTCTAAACTTCTAATCCTGCAGTTCAGGGAATGGAACCAATCTCATCCTTTAGAAAAGCCGGTGAGAAAGTCGTTTTCTCATCCTTCCGATCTCTTCTCTAATGTCACACCCAATGGCTTCGATAACTGCTAGTTGCTCTTTAATAGCCTGTTGTTTTTATTTGTCTTTCAATCTCCTCTCTAATTCCCTCGGTTCTCTTCCTCGTGCTTCTTGAACTTTGGCTCTCCACGATCTGAAGTTCAATTTTGGTCAGACAAAAACCATGAATGGACCTTTAATTAGTATTTTCAATGAAGGGGAAATAAAAAGGAATTGAAAGGACAAATATGTGCATACCCGTTCAGGCATATGTTGTTAACTTCTAATCCTGCAGTGGGATAAGAATCAATCTCATCCTTTAGAAATGGCGGGGAGAATATAGTTTTCTCATCCTTCTAATCTCGACTCTAACTTCCCACCCAATGGCTTCAGTTCTGATCGCTGCTTGCTTTTTAATGACCTGTTGTTATTTGTCTTTCAATCTCTTCTCTGATTCCCTTGGTTCTCTTCCTCGTGCTTCTTGAACTTTGGCTCTCTTTCTCCATGATCTAAAGTTTAGGGTTGCTGGTGATCCGGTGGTTTGTGATGGTGAAGAGAGCAGACGAAGGAAGGGGAATGGATCACCATGAAGAACAGAGATTAGCCATTAAAATTCGAAACCCATATATCAAATTCAAAAACCCACCTTTGAATTCAATTGATTACCTTCTGGATTGGAAAATGCAGAGGATTTGAAAATTGTATGATGGATTCTTTATCGAAGAGTCGATTTGGGCTTCCGAGCTTCCTTGCTTCCAAACCCTAAATTAGCACCATACAACTACCCCTAGAAGTTCATATACATATTAATGTGGAACTTCTATCTTGATATATATTGATATTTGAATGAATTTTATGAGATTTTACATGTTTTTCATTGTTTGTGTAAAGAACTTGATTACATAATAATAGGAGTTTTTGGGATTAATTAAATATGTTTTGAAAGTTTAGGGACTTAATTGCAGGAAGAAAGGTGCTTCTTTGGGACCTAAATGAATGAATCTCAAGTTTTGAGATTTAAGTGCTCTTCATATAGAATCTGAAGGACCATATCTGCAATTTTACCATTGAAGAAGTTGCTAAAAAGGCCAAAAACCCAATACGGGGTTTCTGGTGTGAGCTGAATAGAAGGTGTCAGCACCGTGTTGCAGGTTTTGACCCCTTACACGATTTTCACAAAATCATTGTTTAATTTATTATTATGGGCGTGGATCCCACTTTCATTTCAATTAAAGTTCCTTAAATCTTATAAATATCCATCCAAATTCAAAATTAAAAGGATGGTCGATGGCAACTTTTTTTTGGGTATTTTTAAATATCAAGATAGAGAATTCATCAATAATAAAATATTGAGGAGTTCAAATTCCTCAAATTAGATTTTGTTTGTCCTTAGATTATTTTTATTTATTATTTGATATTCGAATGTTCATGATTATAATTTTAGATTTCATTATTTTTATTATGAACTAATTTATTTTATTAAGACTATGATGTAACCTAATCAATTTAATATAAATTTTGTGATTTTTACACTTTTAATTAAAATTATTCACATAAAAAGTTTATATTATTGAATTTAATGCATTAAGAGTTTGATCACCTTTCAATTGATTTAGTGATTTATGCATAAACTTAAGAAAGAATTGTATAAATTAGACCAATAATAATATAAACCATGTGTTAGACTATGAGACCGAGAGGTAATTAGCTCACATATCGTAGTGGAGGAAGAGAAGAGAGTTAGGAGCTCAGAGAAGAGAGTTAGGAGCTCCCCTTCTTAAGCTAGAGATTTCCATAAAATTTAATACTCATTAGTTTGTATATATGATTAATTTGACAAACAAGTGAAGGATTAACTTGATTTGAGAAAATTAATTAATTAATTTAAGGAAATCTGTATCACATGCAATAACACTTAACAAATTGGTTGCGAAAGTATATTAATCCAAAATTTATATTGATTGATTATAGTGAAATCAATGCCTAAGTACCTCATATCTTCATTAACCTTATTTTAATTGTTTTTTTTTATTTTTTATTAAAGTTTATTCTCTTTTTTTTTTATTCAAATAAATTTAGATTAATTATTTTAATACTTAATTAGACATAATTTTCGTAGATTCAATACTTTTCTCATTATTATATTACTTGAAACGACTAATACACTTACTTGAGTGATTTTAGTGCATCATCTTATAATTAAAAAAAAAATAGAAATGTGGTTTTCATTATGGATTGATTTTTTTACTACAATCTAAATACTAAAATTACCAAAACACTACTACCAAAATACCACACTAAAAACACTTTCCTATATATATATATATATATATTTAAAAAAAAAAAAATCAACTTGGCATCTATTGATGTAAAAACCCAAACAAGGATACATTTATGGCTACAATTTATACGTATTTTTTCTTTACATTTCTTTTAAAGAAAACTAGCAACAATTTATGAGCAAAAAAACAAAGTACAAGAAAACTAAATATAAGTTTGTTCAACCACCAAGAGCCCGCAATAATGTCAACAAAAAAACTTGCTTCCAAGATAACTTTAATAGTAATTAAGCAAAGAGAGGGTTCTCACAAGATAAGAAACTATCTTCAAAGGAACACAAATTTGTTAAGCTTGAAAGAACTATGGCCAAAATTCAATAAACTGACTGCTACATGGTATATTCTTCAAAGTTCCCTATAATCTTTAAGCTCTATGCACATGCTAAGGGTACATCCACCAAATCTTCATACTAGTACAGCAACTCAACTTTAACTAAATCAAAATAGTAAAAGCCTAACCAAAGACCTTAAAAATATGAGCCACAATACAATCTAGCTCACCTAACAAAATATAGGATGGTTAACGCAAACAACTATATAACTCAAATTAATAGTGCTCCAAACAAATGATTGTTTCAAACAATATAATATGACAATATAATTAGACTACCAACACCTTTCATGAGTGAATAGGACAAGACACTAAATATAAAAGGAATGAGAGTACAAAAAATTCATCTTAAGCAAATGGTGGGGCTTCTTATTTATAAGGCATTTGGCATGTAATCGAAAAAATATATAACACTAATTTGGATAAAATCCAAAACCATTGCAAAATGAGATAAATGGTTGCAAAATAATGAAATAAAAAAATGGCTAAATAAATTGTTATAAAAATTTGATTTGAATTTCCTGTGAGGAACACATGCTCATTTAAAGAATTTAGGTAAGGGTGGACTATTATGCATGATAGAGGCAATCAAAACCTTTACTTAGTAAGTCAATGATTTCTATTACAAAGTCTAGTAAAGAAAGTCTTGAACTATAATTATTCAAAGACATAGGAGATCAAGTCATAGATATAAGAGTCCAAGTGTTAGTTTGAACTTAATAAACCAACACGTTATAGCCTTTGTGCCTAATCTTGGTATTTATGGATGATCTAGAGAAAAACCCAATTTGTCAAAAGTAAAAGACACTCATAATTAAGAAGCCACATTCAATGAGCTATAAATTCATTAAGAATATAACTTAACCCTCAATTTATTACGAAATAGATGCATCCTTAACTTAGGAATAAGACCAAAAATTTTTCCATCAAATATTGGTGCATCTTTCAACAATGACTTCTTCATGATTTTTTTTTTTATCAAAAACTCAATTCTCATTTTTCAAATTAGGCATCTTCATATAAAGTTCTATATTTTTAAGCTTTAATCTCATTCCCAGTGAGCACTTAATCTTAGACTATAGCCATATATTTTGCTCAATGAAGATTCACACATTTTTATTCATAGTTAAATCTATTATCCTACACCACCAATATAATCTAAAATACCATTTTTTTTTATTTATTATAGTCAGGCATTTGTTCATTCACCAACTTGAAATATATAAGCCTAATAGTTTTAACTATGATACCATGAATATCAACTAAGCTCTTAGGGAACCTTCAATGTTGATACTAGGGATGTCAACGGGGCCCCACGGGGCCAGGGAGTCCCTCCCCATCCCCATCCCGCGAATGGCAGGGACGGGGATCTCCGTAGGGATTTTTGACAAGGGACAAATTTTGCCCCCCATCCCCATTTCCCACGGAGAACGGGGATCCTCGCAGGGATCCCCATTCCCCGCTAATTAATACCAAAATATATATTTTTTGCATCAAACATAAATAAAAATTAATTTAACATAAATAATTAAATCAACAAAAAGGAAAATTGAAGGTGAGACCGTGAGAGTGAGTGAGGAGAAATTGTAGAAGCAAGAAGGGGAGAGGAAGGTCAAAGGTGAGGTGAGAGTTTGATTGTTCGACTGAGACCGAGAGTGAGTGAGGGGCTAAAGTGAGGGTTGTGACTGCATTGTAGCGTGAGTGAGGAGAAAGGGAAATAATAAGGTTAGGAAATTAGGGTTGGAAGGAGGATGATGGGTTGGGTTGGGTATTTGGGTTGAGTCGGGTAAAATTTAATTTTTATTGAATTGGGTTTGGGTTTTATTTTAATGGTTAAATTAAATTTAAAATATACATTTTTTTTTAATTTTTCGCGGGGATGGGGATCCCCGCGGGCCTCGCGGGGCGGAGAAAATTCTCCACGAAATTTCGCAAGGAAAAAATCTCCCCCATCCCTGCCCCACCGGGAGGAATATTCCTCCCCGCCCCGTCCCCGTCCCTGTGACAGGGATCCCCGTAAGGCCCCACGAGGATCGAGGGAAATTGCCACCCCTAGTTCACACGTACCTCTTTACATAATAAGAATTTCCCATAAATATACTTTTTAACACAAGCATATCATGTTCTTGTACTTTTTAAAACACCATTCGTTTTTCAATCTCATATTGTACCCTAAATTTAATGTATAATAGGACTGCATCAAATAAAACCCATATCATTGAAAAAACATGAAAAACATACAACTACCTTAAATAAAACTTGAGTTTATAGAACTCTTTCATCTATATGTCAACCAAATTTGCATTCCTTTTTTGGTCAATGCCTAATCAATTATATGCAAAATAAATCTATATGTAATCAAATAGCATGCCTAGTAAAAAATAGTTTCATCTAATAATTTCTTATGATATGCATATAAATTGATCATCTCTATCAAAATAAAACGAAAGTAGATTTATAGTGTTCATTTCTTAACACATTAACTAGAATATAAATAATATTTTGATATTCACTTATTTGTGTTTTTGAAAACCGTTGTTTATTAACAATTTAAATGTAATCGAAATGTCCTAAAACTATTATTCCTTGAACTTTAATTTTCATATTTGCTATGTATCAAAGTTGTTTCTTAGCTTCTCTCTTCACCTTCTACCAAATTAATATTATTCCTCACAACAACAACCAAAAAAGGAGAAATTAGTATCAAATTAAAGAAGAGAAAATTAATATTAAATAATGTTCACAAAGTTGAAGAATGATGAATTAAGGTGTGGATCAATTACTCTCTTTAGAACGTTTCATGCCGCTAGTGTAGTAATTTTTTTATAATTACGTTGCCCTTAAGATGCAACAACCCAATATTCTTTGTTATGGCTTTACAAGTTCTATAATCTTGTAAAGCAAGCTCTATACTACCACCTTTTTTTATCTAATTGAGAATTTGAGAAAACAAGACACCATATATAAAAGGAATGGGAGTGCAAAAAATTCATCTTAAGCAAATGGAGAGACTCCTTATTTATAGGGCATTTGGCATGTAACTAAAAAATATATAATACTAGTTTGAATTAAATCCAAAACCATTGCAAAATGAGATAAAATAAATGGTCGCAAAGTGATAGAATAAAAA